CAATCAACCACTCCCCGCTTGCCTTTTTTATGCGTTTTTTGCAGATATGCAATGCAAAAACGCATACTGATGAGGGGTTGTCTGTGTGTTCGTGTATATGTGTGTGCGTCTGTCACGCACTTTCATCTCAACACCTATAAAAGCTGCAGGGCTGAAATTTCGGGAGCTTTATCTACATGCAAGCCGGCGCCATTTCCCAAAATGGGCGCCATCACTCGCGTGGTACCCGCGTACGGGCCCCTCAAAGTTTTTTTGGAGTAAGTTCATAACTCGGGAATCTAAGAAGCTAAAACGCTGAAATATTAGGGGGATGTCCCCTGTTCAAGTGGGTATTAACGAGTTTAAACCCTGCCCGCCGGTAAGCGTGGTACCTACGTACGGGCCCGTGAAAATTTGTTTCTTCCGGGTAAGCTGCTAACTCGAGGGCGTGAGAAGCTAGAAGACTGAAATTTTGAAGGGATGTTTCCTGACAGTTCTGGCGGCCAGTCTGAAATCCTTTTAGCTAGACGCATCTGCCGGAAAAACCAGTGCCGTTAGCCACAAAAATCTGCGGGGAACCATGCAAAAAACGCATCTTCGCACGGGCAGCCCGTGCGCTGGCCAATTATTTAAGCTTCACAACAGCGTGTTTACCTGTTCGGTGTCGCGATAGAAAAGTTGCAAATCCATGCACTGCTCGTAAAGTATCCTTCGTTCCTCCCACAGTGAAAGCAAGCTTGCTTTCTCCTGCGCCAAATGTGCCAACTTTTCACGCACTTCATCGGATTGCTCAACGCCTTCGTCCAGTAATTTTTGCCCTGCTTCTGCAGTTTGCGTGAAGCTATCTTCACGAGCATCAATTTCGCCCTGTACAAGAAGAACTAATGAAAAAAGTGACATTCATAAATTCAGAACAATCAAGAACAATAGGATTTAATGCATTTCAGCTGTACCAGAATGAGCAATAAAAAGAATATGAAAAAGGGAAGTTACCAAAAATGAAGTTTTTGAAAGGTGCGCTGGGCACATTTGCGCCGATATGTAAAAATTACCCGATGCTCCTGGTGGCTTTCGAGCAATGCTTCCGCCCCAGCAACATCTTTGGCCAACTCATCAGCTGATATTACCGCTTTCATGTCATTAATCCATGAGCAAAGGTCGCGATAATCGGCAAGAAATCTGAAAACGAAGAAAGAAAGTGT